AATAAATAAGGCAGGAAAGCGAATAGTGAAGTTTGAATGTAGGAATTCGCGACCTTACCGCGGCGCAAGGTAGCGTGGAGCGCGTTTTCCACTCGCTTGGACGCGGATTTGAGGCAAAATGAAATATCAAAAGTTTTATTAGAGGAATAGAGAGGATTTTTTGTAAACCTAGGTACCGTTATGTCCCTAGTGGTCTCTAATTTCAGGTATGTGCCAAGATTTCCGTCAACGTCCAACCGTCTTTCTTGCAGAAGCTGGGAAATTTAAATCCCCAATAGTTACGGGCGCCTTTTTTGAAAGCTTATATCTTCGTCCACAGGCCTTTTCATGGAACCGGACACCAATATTTTACAGTACAAATAGTTTTCTTTCAAAAAAGCATTTGAAATTTTGCGGATGTTCAATATTTAAAAAATCGTCCAGTCGTTCCGTTTTTTGTGCACACGCGAGTTTTCGACATTCAAACATTCATAGCTTTCTTCATAATTAACTTTTTGCAAATGTCCAAGGCTAATTAGAGACTAGAAGACTAGCGCTTTCAAAAGAGCACCTGAAAATTTTACAGCGATCATTCTTTCAAAAAATAGTCCCGTCGTTCCGTTTGAGGTGGGTTTGGGGTCCAATTTTTGAGAAAGCGCGAGAAGCATTTATAACATTCTTCGTATTCTACTTTTTGCGAATGCCTAAGGCTAATTAGAAACAAGGAGGTCAGTGCTTTCGAATAAGGGCTGAAACTTTTTCGAAAAATCACTCGTTCTCCCGTCGTTTCGTTTATTTTCATAGACTTTTTTCAAGCCTTTCTTCTAGACCGCGACATTCCAATATTCAAGAACCCATAACTTCCTTCGAACTTCATAAAATGAGAAGCTGTAAAGACCGTTAGAATCTACGCGAAGAGTACTTCATTACTGGTGTTAACTTTTCATGTAATTCTTTCTTCTGCTTCAATTTCATGAGGGGTCTTTGAAATTCAATTCAGCAAGTTCGCTACATTTTGTTCCGCTTATTTGATTTAAAAGCATCAAAATTTTCTTCAGGAAGTTTGTCTGCTTACGGCCCCTGACAGTGAAGCCGTTCTCGTGGGAAGACGCCTGCCCGGGTGTACGCCGTGCACCTGTCGGATAAAAGTCGCACACGCATTTGAAAGTCCTCCATTTTCCTGAAGAAAGTGTTATTATCGTGATTGTGTTGCATTGTACTGTTATATGGTACTCTTTTTTCACTTCCCCATGAACTGCTCTACACTTTGTTCTCCTTGGGATTTCAGGAATGTTCGATCATCGAAGACAGACCATGTTTTTGCACTACGTTCTAACAAAACTTTTGGCTATTGTGACCTTGATCAATGCTGTCGAGCAAAAACGTCGTCCGTGTATCAATGATAATAATGGATGAAGTGAGACTCATAATACCTTGCATGCTTTAATGCTCCCATGGAGCTCTTGTCTGTGCGACTTTCCGACAGCTGCACGGTGCAGAGCTTTTGAAGAACATTAGGGCGTGAAAGTGCACTGCCGCACACTGCCTTGTTGCCCTCTTACAGCTCCGTCCCTCTGTATGCGACCCCCCTTTCGTTCGGCAAAACGCGACCCCCTCGCTGTTCTTTGCGCAACGTAGGGTTGACCCTGGTTGTACGGTCGACCAAGATTTCAAATTAAGTGAAAAACAATCTAGAGACTGGGCAAAAAAGTGGGCACAGATGTGCATTGATAAGTCAGACTGAATTAGGGAGACCCACTTATAGTGGGCGGAGTGTTCTCAAAAAAAGCAGTGGTTAAAAATCCATAACTAGCTTTGGAGAAAGCCTACAGAGCAGGAAAAAATTGCCTAAGGGAAACAATGTCTAGGGTATTTACAGCACACATGACCTTAGCGAAGGCTTGCCACGAGCGCACCTTGATGTGCACAGCTTTCCCTGCAAGTCCTCATAAATCGGCTCCGAGAAGTAATAGAGAGGAAGAAATAGGGGGATAGAGGTCAGAGAGGAGGGGAGTCTCAATGTAAATGGTATGCGCGGTTGTACGAAAGTGGGGCGGAGTTTAGTTTCAAAGCTGTGAATCAGTTCTTAAAATTTTGGTAGAATGGGAAAAAATGGGGGTAGGTGTCCGCGGTGGAAAAAAGGGTAACTGCTGTTCGTGGGCGGGACACGCACCGAAGAGGGCCGAGATCCACAACACTTCATACCTCGGTTCCAAGAAATCATGGAGACCGGAAGAAGCTATAAAGTTGGTCTAAGGGGAAGGGAGATCAACATCAGTAGGTGGGCGGGCATGTGCCAAAAAAGCGGGAATTGCCGCCAAACATACAAATGGGCTCAGAGACAGAACAAAATCGTGCACCTCTTGATTTTTTAGAGATCGGGGAAAATGTGGGGGGAGGTTAGCGAGGAAGACTAAGATAGATGGAACATGTAGCGAAATTCAGCACGACATTAAAAAAATCAGTGAGAGGCAGTCCGGAGAACGGAGAAGGCGAACAGTGGTTGACGAAGGAGGGAAGCTCAGAAGCCATCGGTGGACGAGGCACGGGAAAAGCCGATTGAATCGAGCTTAGAAATCAAATATTCGTAGTGTATCGGGCCAAATTTAACACGTTGAGGACAGCGTGACGTGGTAACGCGTCCCACTTTGCACACCTCGTGGGACATTGTGATGCGGTAACGCGTCCCACCCAAGCCATCCCTTTTTCTTGCACTTGTGCGCTTATGTTCCTAAGGATTTTATGCTCATTCCATAGGACATAGATGAGCATACTCAAAAACCACATGGCTTACAGATAGTCCAAATTTTCGCTAGTTTGGCAGAGGTTTTCCAGACCTCACGGATATGCCTGTCCAGTTCATTCCTCGTTCTCTTTTCATTGACATAAACATGTTGATGAAAAGGAGTAATAGAAGCGAAACCAATTAGCATGGAAAGATACGTGTTTTTACTTACGAAACCACGTCCAAATTAATTCTGGAACCGCTAAAAGGAAAGTAAGTGAAATTTGCTTTCAATGCCTTAACCGGCCGATATTCTAACTCCCGATAAATTCGACAGATCGAACATTATTGAAACACTTCACCGCATCTGAGTATTGCGTATTTACAGCTCAAAACCCATGGATTTGGTGTGCGGTGGCTGCGCTCGTAAAATCACTCTGGTCCCACGTGGTGCAAAAACACAAAACGCACGATGTCGTCAACGTGACAACACAACGATTACATGGCACCATTCCATATTGCCTGTGCTATGCGCACAATAGCGCGCGGTGCCTACTGGTGAATTACAATCCCAACATGTTTCGATGGCAAGCCTTGTCACTGAATCAGCATTTTCGTATTGAATTTTCGTATTGAATGTGAGGAAGAGTGAAGGATGCAGAATCATTCCACTGGAATCATTTTGAAACAAAGGCGCGATTGCGATAAAGTGGGGCGCACCGCGGAAGCAGACGCACCACACGAATCAGTCACTTGATTGCCATGGATCGAGGTTTACAATAGCGCTTACAGAAAAACCGATTTTGAAAGAATAGTCCTTCACAAACCTTCGCACTGCCATAACTCCGCTAAAAACGAGTGAACCGAAAAGATTCAAAAACATTAGGATAGGTCTCTCCAAAGCGAGTTCGAGGATGTGTAATTTAAAAAGTAAAACCTCAGAGACCCCAACAATCTGAAGTGATACGTGTGCTTCCTGCATCTCTGCCTATAATTCTGTGTACATTCCCTCTTTACTCCTAAATCGCTGATAGCTTCATTCACCGCTCCTATTCAACCGCAACCATTTCTTCGAAGAGCCATAATTTCTGTTCGATATTTTTATGATGAACTCTGCGAAGGAAATTCCCTCCCCACATATAGCATAGTATGAAAGGTGGGCAAAAACTACGGTAACAAGAGGTTGCTGTTGCCAATTCCTGATTTCATATACCAGGAGTTTCTAAAATACGTTCTGTGTGTTTATTCTGAAAACTTCATGTTCCATTTCTGATTCCGTCACATGAAACATATCATTTCCGGAATGGACAATCTTTAAACTCCTCGACTATCAATCACCACTTCGGTGGGGAGATTGTGCTGCATTGCAAGAGGACTCAGCCGATCTATGAAAGTTCCATCGACGACCATTACAATTACCACCACCACAGGCTGTTTACTTGCACCTACAGGCCCCTGAAAGGGTTGATTCTACGACACCATGAGCAATACTTTGAAAATAAATGCGAGGAAGCGCTGGAAACCAGCCTACTCAATCCGTCGTTTGATCGTAGAAACTGCTGTAGTGCACACTCCGAGATGAGCTTCATTCATTGACCTTTTTCTCCCAATGAGAAGATGTATTTTCCTATCTTGAATCAAGAGATCAACTGGATCAACGCCACTGAAAGCCAACCAGCCGTAGAGATGGGTTACGAAAAAAGCGGAGCAGGAGTCACGAAATAAAGACACTTTGGCCCTTCGCTATTCAAAATATGGAGCTGAAGTGGGGATCAACTCGAACTACTCCTGTTTCGGTTGGTGCATCAAACAAAAGGAACTTCAATAGTAAACAGTGCTTCAGAACAAGATTGTCTTACACACAACATAGGCTTGTCCAAAAATTAATGCTAGCATATTGTGGAATTCGTTACACTGAGAAGTGGCAACATAGCTCTCCCAACAAGAGCCCTACGAAGTGCTCTGTCTTAAGTGTACCGAAGACAAAAAACTACTACAATCATAGTGCGGACACGGATTTGTTGAGCAGTCGCTCGCGGAAGCTTGGATCAACTCGATAACACAAGCGGCGTCGATGACATCTTAGGAGTCTTTATTTTTTCCAACGCAGGAAGAGGCCACCCCAAGGAATAATATTGTTTCCTACTCGGGGATTCGACCAATATGATGGCGTTGTTGGCTTGAATTCTTTGGCTATCCTGCTTTTCATGACCAATCTATGTTGTTACCGTAATATTTGCGAACCTTGTAGACTAATTTTTGACAATAGTGTTGACAGAGGACATTTCTGTCCCACTTATCTGAGGTTCTCTTTTGCATCACTTTTTTTTAGCTCGACGCAAACAACGTACCTGACCTCCGGTGCCTTTGTAGCAAGTGTATGAAAGACTGGCTCAGTGGCTCGATGCTGGAAGCGACTGCGCATTTTCACGAGCAACTCTGATGCACTTCCTCTGAAATTTGTTCCCAATTTATATATTGAAATCTCCAGCAAAATCACGGAGAATTGGGAAAACGTCAGGAATCAGAGTACACGAGATCAGTGAGGCCAAATCTTGTTTCTAGTAGTAATTCAGAAAGTTGAAGGAAAATCATGAAACTCGTTGCTCCTTGTAGTGACGTTTTGACAATCACTACTCTGCTAGGTGAGAGACCAGGGATATATCTCTCAACTATGTACTAACACGATCACTAGAATACACTGACCACAAAAGTGTTACGCTTTCCCGAAAAGAGCTGATTTCTCAACAGAAAATTTTTTTTGTTCAAATTTCTACAATTACGTGAGTGATTCCAACAGTCGCCACAATCGATCCCAGCGAGACGCAGAAAAATTTCGTTCAAAAATCGCATTAATATCAGTGCTATTGCAGGGAGCTATCGTTTTTCCACTCAACCACGAGCAGGAGCATGTTAGGCATATGGAATGGGAGAGCGGGTAAACTTAAGATTAGTTTGATTTCTGAGCGAAATGACAGACCAATTCAATCCAAACCTGTGCCATCAAAAAAGAATTCAAAGCAAATGTGGGATAGAAAAAAGTGCCTAGATCTCCCTTGCATACACGTAATTGTAAAGCGAAACTGATTCTGCATATTCTCCGCATCTATATGTCTCATCCTCCAAACCGATATGAAGAAGAGGTTGAAAGAAATCAGACACCAGACTGGCAGGGCCGCCAGTCAAATAACAAGTAGGTGGACCAGAAGAATTTTGCCGTGGACATGAGTGGCTATTACCGAAGAACACGATTCAGGACCAAAGAATTGTGTTAATCCAGGTTTCTCCGAAAGCGGCTTTGAAGAGTAGCTTATGGGTTTGATCATTTATTTACCAGAAGCTTATTGCTTGTGCTATACGAAGAAACCAACCATTCACAGTACCCAAGAATTGTGGTTAGATCCGTCCGAAAAGCGGCCTTGAAAGACGCCATGGGTTGGGCATTAATTATACAATGCTTTGGTCAATCAAAGTCATAGCAAAGTTCTATCGGGGAATTGATGCATTACACGCTTCTTCTCTAAGCAATTGCAACCTTAACAAATATCGTGTATTTCTGAGCAGATTAAGGCTCCCAAGCATGCCCAAAAACCCGAGCAGATGTTCGGCTACCTCCACGTTTCGCCATAGTGATTGGAGGATATCTGGTCATCTCGCCTCATTCGAGCCACCTGAGTTCTGCAATCGAAAGTGTTCTCAATCGAAAGGTATGCTCGAAGCAGAAGAATCAGACGTGAACTTTTCGCGGTGCACTTCGACATCCCGTGATAAAAGCTGCCCGTCGAAGCCGAGCCCAGAAAGCACGAACGTCTATGAAAGGCCATCAGCCCTAATGTGATAATGTGTGTGAACTCAAAACTGATTCTGGAAACCATATAGGTACAATCGTTCATAAGGCTTTCCGCACACTTTTCGCAATCTTCCGAAGCATTCTATGTAGCGACGTTACAACATTCTCATTCATGCTTTACAAAGTTCATGTCATATCAATATTAGAGCAGTCACAGATTTGGAATCTCCATACTAGGAAACTTCAAATAAAAATTGAGAAGGTTCAACAAGCCTTCACGGAGCCGCCATTTACAAATGCGATCCTAATCAGCCTCTCCCAGACGTATGCCGGAATACAAAGAACGTTCAAGCCGTCTACACCTTAAGTCGCTGCTATACCGGCGGGTAATCAATGATATGTTCTGCTTTAGAATGCTGAAAGGCGATCTGAGGCTAAAGCTGAGCAATTAATGGATCTTCAGACCTTGCCGAGGGCGCACCTTTTCGCGCTCTCTGCAATGCCCGAAGCTCACAAAAAAGCAGCACGTCAAGGTTTTCACCTCATTCTTCTTCGATGGAGCTAGATGACTTCAGGCATAACGAAATGAAATCAGCAGGCCCCGACCATAAGCGCATTCAAAAGTAGATTGAGGAAGATTGATCTGTTACAAATACTTGGAATTCGCGATTTCTAAGAGTTGATTTCATTTGAAAACTTTTTTTTGCAGCATAATACTCCCTTCAAGGAAGCCTCGAGCTAGGCCCTTCGAAAAGAAATACCGGTCGCAATCTGAATGAACTCTTTTTCTCTTTCGCGTGTTTTTTATTCTGTTTCACTTTTCACGTCGAGTTTATACCTAATGGACTGTTTTGCTTTCTGCTTCCTGTTACTTTTGTTGTTTCTCAGAGGTTGGTGGATAGATCTCTAGAATTATAGCCATGAATTGCCAGAATAGAAACACTGAACCACATATTGCCTTTAGAAACCCTCTAATGCTAGAATGTCCTTTAGGTCAGAAACTAAACTGTTAGGGGGACGGAATACCTAACATCCGGAAATTCTGTTTCTGATTCCTCATATTTTTTTACATACTTGTCTAGGAGTGGCGTTATCCCAGCGCCTCCGGCTTTGAATACAATAGCTTTAGTGTAACAATTCACGACTAAACTCGAGAAAGGCTTCATATAAGTGGTCTAGTGAATACCTTGTATCGTCCATCGTTGTCTTTTGTAGAATTTTCACCTGCACTCCCTATTACTAGTAATGTGTTCTAGTTCAGATCTTGGTAATAGCGCATCCCCGAATGCACCAAATAAAAAAATAAACAGATAAATAAATAATGTTCACTCATTCAAGCAAAAACTAAGAAATCGGGTACTTCCAACACAATAGGGCGCACGCATAGTCGGTCGGACGACAGCAACGATCGTAACTGTCACACAGCATTGGATGCGTGTCGATCGTCGGACTTGCCTGAGTATTCGACGATTAGATAAAGATAGACAGCCAGACAGTTGCTGTCGGACGACTGACTATGCGTGCGCCCATAGCGACTTATCCGTGCTCATCGTTTTGGACCGTGTAGCACACATCGAATGAGTATTTCTGGATACCTCGAAAATTTGTCGCGAATTCTCATTTTTTCTACTATTTCGCCGAGCATAAACGTGGCTTAAAGACACGCTCCACGATTAGGTTGCTCGACCGCTCCATCCGTGGGGTAGTAGGCAGGCGGACAAGTGTTTATGTCTCGCCCTTTTTGCCGCTTGAAAGTGCGCAACAAATTCGCAAGCAGCGTCCGGCCCGCAACGCACACCTTCGTCCGCAAGCCCCACCCTCCGCTGTCGGCCACCACGTGGGCCTGCTGAAAAGAGCGGGCGCATTCGAGGCAGCGGTCAGATCGCGATCCAACGTCATTGGCACTGGAGCAGAAGAGTTAGGTTCGCGAAACTCGTCTAACGCGCCTATGCTCTATCCCAAGGTGGAATGTGGCTGAAATAGGGGACGTGATCGATGGTTTCTTTTGCTTTCTTTCTCTTCTATGGGCCACCTTTCACCCACAACTTCATAACTGAACCTAGCTTTTCCACGCCTATTTTATCCTGAACCTTGCCTTTAAAACGCACACCCCATAAGAAATTGCTAATAGTAGCTTTTTGAAAGTGAGAGTGAAGATACAAATTGGAAAGGTCCGTAAAAATAATACAAAAGGAAATTCCGTGAGGGCGAAATCTGTACGTTTGTGCTCATGGCCCCCTTTACTTTTATGAGGTAACTGGTAGCATGCTGTAATCTTTACCATGGCACAAAGTGTGCAAGAACGCAATCGAGACTTGTTGGAAAAGATTGAGCTCTATGAAGAAAGCCATGAAAGAAACGAGAATAGCAAGCTAGGAATTTGATAAAGTCATCCACTATACTTCTGTGACGAGGAAGTCTTGTTACACAGAGAGTCACGTTCATTTTGGAGGTAGCTCATGAAGAATATAATAGGTCTCACTTTTTCTCCATCATTGCTTTCCTCTTCTCATCATCAGGTTTGACGCATGCCATCTTGTCGTTAGAATTTCTGCAAAATCCTCTTCGTTTTTTCTTTGCGCATATTCATTAATTCATACATTCTGCTATCAAAATAGCGCACATAGCTTTGAAGCATATCAAATAGAAAACAGATAAAAAAAAACTTGCAACTCACGATATGCTAGAACTGCCACTCTGGCCTCCTTTCTTCGAACCTTCTAGTGAGTCAACCTAAACAGAAGGTTCTATAACAAAGTAACCAAGGTGAAATGCTATTACTATATTCCATTGTCTTAACTATATTTCCTTTCGCTATGAAGCCGACATGCATGTGTTCTGCCCTACGTAATCCGAGCACAGCGAAGTACGTAACTCGAGGAAAACTTTTGAACTCTTCTATTTTTGAACATTCGAGTGAGGTTTTGAAAAAGCTGATTCTCTAATACAGATACGTGATACCAAAAGACGTAAGCAACCAACCCTTTTGGCGCTTCGGCTGGGACCGTATGCTCAATGCTGGGGAGGGGATAGAGTCCCCAACAGTGGACGGACCACTTCAACTCGGTCCTTAGAACCGCCACAATTTGGTGCTTACCTCAGAAATGAGCCTCAAAGACGAGTCCGTCCCCTCTCCAAGCCTTATTGCTGGGGTGAGCAAGCCAGCCCTTCTGGCGGAGCTGCTGGACCAACTGCACCACTTGCGTCAGTACTCTCCTAACGTACCAAGAGTTAAAGTAAACCGTCGACCGTTGGGGCCCCATCCCCTCCCCAACTTTCAGCATACGGTCCAGCCGAATCGCCAAAAGGGATGGTTTGCTTACCTCATACCAAAATATCACTCTTGGAAACCAGCGTCAATTATCTAGTACCAGCTTATCTTCCTTCACTGCAGCGACTGTTTTGTAGAGCGGCGGATGTCAATGCTAGAAAATGAGCGAAAGAAATTACAGAAAATATGAGAGACAGACAAGAATGGTTAAATGGCTCGAACGACTCTTTCACAGCCGAAAATGCGGCGCAATCGGCAGGTATGCTGATACATTTTTTACCCGACTAAATCCTTTTTTATAGCCTTTTCTCCCACGGAATTAATGCTCCTTAAGTATGTGTGGATTGAGTTCTGAATTGCATTTAGTGTCGAAGACATGTCATTTGTCATGCAGCGTACTCAATTGACTGCACAGTTCTCTGTCTACAATTCCGGAGCGTTGCTGATCTGATCCTCAGAGAAAGTGACTATGCGATGCAAGCTTGGATGACTGTACTATTTCGAGACTGCTCTATAGGTCAGAGGGTGAGCAGTCTTTGTGCGTGATGAGTCAGAGGACAAGGAAGAGCTGCACTTGTCTACAGTTCTAGTAGCTCATAGTGTTTGATAATGGAGGCCATTGTGGAGTCATGATCAAGCGCTGAAAGTTGGTCCTAAACATTTGCGGGAATAGTCCTCGAGGGGTTTTGGATCCTCTCAGCCATCCAATAATGGGCTGCACAATAGAACGCCTCACAATAACGCGGTGCTTTGAAACTACATAGTGTTGCCTTTTAATTGATTTTAAGTTTAAACAGTTGAGCTTGTTTGTGGTCCCACTGTCAATTTCTGGGTGACAACGAAGACACGGCCTCTGTGAAGTTGGTTGGCCTAAAACTTCGACCCTCTTGAGCTCTTAAGAAAGCGATCCCTCTTCCTTGAAGTAGCAGCCTATGTCTTCCCATTAGAAGTGACACTTCCGCTCATGTACGCGCAGAGTACAAAATGTTTATTCGATGATTGCGATTAAGTGGCGATAAAAAGACTTGCGTGCTAAAGTAGCGACAAACTGTGTAGTTAAGCACTTTCCTCAAGCTCAAGGAGTTATTTATTAATGTAAAGAGGATAGAAAATTTAGTGTTGATATTCCGTTTGGGGATGCGCCACCCATTCTACCTCCAATTAGTATCTTAGTGGCATTTTCAATGCGTTTTGGTCTATACAAAGAATTTCTGGAGGGAACCCTTGTAAAAATCAGTGTTTTTATTCTCTCATGCGAGTCTGGTACCACTTACGCGACCCGAGAGGATGGAAGACTTCCTGGGCCAAGACGGCGTACGCTCCACGAATCGCTCCCTAGAGGTGAGCAGCGCCATTTGCCACTACACAGCTTGCGCCCTTCTTTATTGATAAGTCGATAAAATTGCAATATCGTCATAAAAGTGAGGCGATTTAAGCTCTGTTGCAGTATTAATGCTACCCATATATTATGGAGCTTTACAGCCTCTCTTGACGACAACTATCGCGGTCTAATTACTGCAACACTGATTAAGTTTACCACATCATTTGTCGTCGTCGCCAATCATTTCTCTTTATTGACCGGTTCTAGGAAGGAGGCGATGGATGCGTAGGCTGGAAAAACCATACAGATCTATCGGTTGGAAAAAAAAACTGAATAAACTTTTAATCTATTTTAAATGCTCGTCGTTGGTTTCTACTTCGATAGCGCATTCGCATGAGGGACAAGAGATGTGGGTTTTGATTCCAGGCAACGAGTTTTGCTTATAACCAAGCATAGTTGTGACTGGTATACCTGATATCATATCCTACACTTCCCTACATCCAAACACTTAATATTCTCCGCCCACGGCAAATACTATCTCGCTGGAAGTACATAAAAAGAGTAAGCAGGGATTGGATTAGTCAAGAGGAAATCGGACAAAATGGAATACAACTTAATCATTTCAAACTTCGTTTATGTGAGTCGAAACATTGACTGTGATAAAACCACATATTGGCTTATCTCAAGCTAATAACGTGAGCCCTTGCTCGGCAGCGACGGTGAGGCAGGCGGAGGTGAACACCAACAAGAGAGCTCAAATGATGGACTGCCGACTTGTTGATAAGCAAATCAACAACTGCTGAGTTTAGGTGTTGACGTTGACCTACCTGCCAGTGTTCACTCATAACGAAAATTCCTCACCTTTTTCAATGTCTGAATTGACCCTTCTTCGGCACTCAATTGCTCTTCCAAGTCCTCGCTGTTACTTATGTAAAGCGTTTAGACTCATCTCCAAACTGAATGGCCCTGCAAAGTAATGAAGCTATCCTTTTAGCAAAACGCTTCACTCAGACACCATAACTATGTATGTACTATAATTACTGTGAAATTCTGAAGGCAAATGCGTAGATGCACAAAATCGTCTTCAAAAAGTATGTAGTAAGAGTAATCACACGTAGAGAGATAGGCAAAATGACGCTAAATCTGGTTGGACTAGATGATAAGTTTGTTTGGGTGATTCTCACGTATAGGTGGTAGCAGGTTGAATATAGATCAAGGAAATCCTCGGCATTGGGGTCGTATTTGAGAGTGAGAGGTCATGGGGGTCGTACTCGTGGGGGTTGGTAAGGTTAGTGGCATCGTGTTGCAGATAGGAGGGAGAGGGTGTAGCGCAGCAGAAAACAAGAATGTATGAAAAATATATTTATATTAGGTTGTCCTGAAAGTCTTTGCCCATTTGTCGATTTCTTTTTAAATCCACTTTTCTTCTTTAGCCCGATCAGCAATTTACAGTCATATGCCCCATCGTAATCGTCAACATGTTGCCTTTCAACAGGTGGCTTGTGGATGCCGTTTGCCTAGAAGTCCTAAGCTTTCAAGGCAAAAACTGGAGGGCTTTCGAGTAATCCTGAACATAAAGGTCTCCCGCTCTTAGTTGAATCAGCAGCAACAGAAGCAGAAACTATTCTGTTGAGGCCGGATCTACCTAACCCAAGTGGTGAGACAGGACCTCCCACGAGGGGCTTGGAGGCTTTTGGTGGACCTTCTTCGAAATTCCTTGACGATCGCTGCTCGGATGAACTGATCTTTGCAATGTTTTCTACGCATAGTGGTGGAGATCCCATTTGCTTGCCCACGCTATTGAAGTACAACAGCAGTAAAGTTCGTTGGTAGGAGCTGCCGGCAAACGGATCGCTTGCAGCTTTACCAACTCTGAAAGTGTCCTCTCAATTTGCTGGAGTGGACGTCGAATTCTCTGATTCTACGCGTCTGAGCCAGTGGCGCTCGCGGGTGTGGTTTACTTGAGGAACCCACTCCTCGCTACCACTAGCAAGGTAGTCGGGTCAAGCAAGATACAGCCAAATACAAATCAAAATGCTCATGCGAAATCTGAAGGGTTTTGATGGCGGTTGTCACCCAGATCACGAAATCCCCTTTTTCCACAACTTCTTTTCTTTTTGAATAGCTATTGAGGAACGGCTATTGTGTTATGATGACTGCAGTGAAGCTGTGTCACTTAGTGTGCATTGCACCAGAGACTGTTTCAAGACAACTCCAGATGACATTCGTCACTCGGGGTAACAAGCCAACCGACTTTGAACTTTTTTCGATTTTCTGGACATCGGCCAAATGTTTGTCATGTCGTGAACGACACTCTGGAGCTCCATCGCAACACCTAAGGCTCTTGCCGCGTCGCTTCCATTGATGCGTTTACTGTTTCAAAATCAAGAGTAGCCAAATATGTCCTCAGTCAACATCGATTTTCTCAGCCATAATCGCTGCGAAATCCACGGCAGAGACGCTCTGGAGAGAAGATCGACTAGGGATCACATACTTTATACAATATATGTTCAAAAATTATCCCTGGCGATTCCACAACTTAAACAATAAAATGTACCAAGACTTTCAGGACAACCTAATGTATGTATTATATATTACATGAGGTGTCTCACGTGATGGGAAAAGAATTGAAATTCGCAACAAACAAAGCTTCTGAGTGAAAACGCAACGATAGCATATCTCTACCGAGGTAGGGCAGGCTGATGTAAAATTGGCATTAGCGAAACGACAGCAAAAAAGAGACAAATAAAGGAATTACATAAAAGGAACGCTAGGAATTTGAGAGCCTAGGAAAAGAGCCAGAAACAGAACGCTAGGAATTTGAGAGCTTAGGAAAAGAGCCAGAAATATACTAGGAAGTCATCTACCACATGATATAAAATATCCTCTGTACGTCCAGTCGCTTCGTCCCTCTACCTTCGAGAAGGTAGTATTTGAAAGTATCACGAAGAATGAAAGTGCATCTTTGCAAGGAACGAGGTCACACGTGCACACGCGCTGCAAAGGCATTTCCTCTATCTACCGCCTGCTCCTTCGCAATTATTACCTCGTTTAGAATGGCACTGTTGTTAGGAACGCTGTCATAAAAACGACAATAGTTCTTGAAAGACCCTGAGCAAATGAAGCTGTTCCTTAGGTTGCAGTTACGAAATGTGCTCACTACAATACAGTTTCTGTCGACAGGTCATCATCATATGTATAGCACCTTTCAATAATTCTACAACTTGAGTGGAGGCCGAGATCGCACTATTAGGATTACCCCTTTTTTGTCGCCTGCGTTGATAGAAATCATTTTGGACACAGTTAGAGAGATGCTAACGAAGTGACTTCCAATGGTGAAGGTGGGAGCGGCTTTTCAGATGACCGAGATCCGTCCTCGATAGATCCTGAACGCAAATATCTCCTCAAACAGAAAAGAAAGAAATCTAAACAGACTTTCAGAAAGCGGGAACCTTCCAATTTCTAATTACAGCTTCTTCCTTTTTTTCAAAGTCCAACCGAATTAGAGAGATACTGCCTTCTAAGTGGCAAAAACTTGCATGAAAAATTCAGCGTCCCCGATGGTACTTCGACAAAATTTAAGTGACCCACCTCGACCTCTAACTATAAAGATTTTAGATCAATTTTAATGTTGTCCGGTAGTAGCAAATCCAGTTCTATCTAACCCTACCACGTGCTGCTCCAATCGTTATGATATGGAGAATGGAACCTTTTCATTGAGAGTGTAGATTTTGGCGGTTTTGAGCGGGGTTCCCAAATCTGGCCCAACCGCGCTGCGACTGAATGTTCATTGATGGAGCTCCCTTATTCACATCAAATTAAAGTTAGAGGGGTCGTATCAACCTCAACCTCGATCTAAGATGGGAGGGTTGTATTGGTTTGACCATCTCGACACGATTTTCATCCTGGGCGGGAGTGAGTCGTACATAGTGGTGCACATTATATTGCACCCCATAGAAAACTTTATTTTCGAGAGATCCTGTACTTTTTGTTGCTTCTGCCTATGCTATAGTTTAGGAATAGACAAAAGAATAATATCTGTTCTATTTATAATATTTGACATCACACTTTTCCAAAGTTTGTGACAACAATTTTTCACTTTTTGAGCCGGTGCATAATAGATTGGACGATATGTGTTGTGGATCAAAACACAACAGGTGAAGTCTACCCCCTCATCTTGTAATGAATGGAGCGTTCCTTATTTCTCATTGACCTTGGAAATGGAATCAGATTTTGAATCAGCTAATTCTGAGCAGCAGAGGCGGAAGAGTTTTCCACTCCATTGTAGTGGTATTTCTCAGCTACTGAACATTGTCATACGCTTTCGCATTTGCGTAAATCTTACGCGTTAGTATAGCCTATTTATTGCCGATAGGGTTCGTAGTAGGATTCCATGACAATAATTGGTTGTTATCATATTGGAAGTGGGACAGAGTATTCACGAAGCGTGGTTCGAAGCGTTCTTTTGCACGAGAAAAAACTGCTTGGAGGTTTTGAGAATGAATGGTACCGACGTGTTCTTGAGGAGTGACTGATACCCCTGGCTTCTCGAGAATTAGTATGAATCACAAGACTCCCATCACTAGAGAATGCGCTCCAAACCATTGAGGAGAAGCCGCCGAGGTTGCTCCGAGGCACCAGCAGTGTTTCTCTTGGGGAAGCGCCAGTTCGAGTGCCCTTAACATGACCCATCTCCGCTAAGCAAAATTTGTTGGAAAGAAATTACCTGTGGAAAAATTAAGATGAGAAATTTAAATTTAACATAAAGCTGGAGATGTGCCCACAACCCTCCGCTCCTCAATTATTCTTATCTCATTCCTCGCAAGAGGGAGCGATCACATCAAGTCAGGCGAAGTGTGGGCTTCATTTATTGTCGAACAGTGTGGTCCTATACTCCCAAAATACGAGATATGGTCCATTTTGGTACCAGAATCCCGCAATGGGCAGTCAATTCATAGGCAATCTTTGGGGAACTCGATGCTAAATTGATTAAACGGCGCCTGTCGCGCTCAAAAACAGTTGGCTTCCGTACCACCTTCTTCGACAGAACAATTCGGGAATGATTCTTGATCGCAGTTGCAAATGTACTGAAGGAATATTGGGTTCCTTAAGGATATGGAGATAGCCCTCGCTGAGGTGATGTAACGTTTCAGTTCGAATCCAGACTTCGTTTGTGTCGCGTGTACTTCGCATAATACGTGAGTACCTTCAAATTTCAAAAGCAGGAAAGAAATTGTCGAAAAAATTAAACATCTCAAGTCGTCCAATCTATTGTGCACCGCTGAAACATTCAATATTTCCCTCTAAAAATTTTCAAAGACACGTATTCAACTGATTATTGCGTCAGTAATATTTATCTACTTCCCCTGAAAACATCCTAGCAGCAGGATCAATAAAAATTTCGGCTTCTTCCAAAAACTAAGTTTTTTACAGCATGCAATCTATTGTGCACCGCGGTGTACATGAAAAACCTAATGCATTCCAGTGGCCTAACCCGAACGATTCGGGAATTCTGACTGCCAAAACCCAACTCCTTCCAAACTAGGTCAACCGGAATTGAATACCAGAGGAGACCTACAACATGCTAATTGTAAAAGTTCAACTTCATCACCGACCCTGGACCCAAAATGTGTCACTACACTACATTTTTAATCCACGACAAAGTCAACTGATAACTTGGCAGAGGTACCTTTATTTCAAATACGAAACAGCCGAATCACTTTTTATGGGGTTTGACCCGAATTTGAGTGAAACTCGCAAAAAATCGGAGACTCTCGAGCTGACAGTTTCTTCAGTTACGGCTGACCTCTTAATCATCTCTAGCGCCCTTCTTCGAGAAATCTTG